CTAATTATCTGAATGAATTGTTGTTATTGCAATGGTTTGAAAAGTTGCTAAGTTCATGTATTTAACAATGTAATGGAGGAATTTCTACTGGTAATTCATCATCGTAGCACAAACAAAGACCTTCCTCAATCATTAACTGAAGAATTATGAAAAATTATCAGAAAATTTAAATGGGAAAACGGTCAATTTTTAATTTTATTTTTATGATATTGACTGAGAAACATATTATAAACCCAATGTCTTCAGAAACATTTTTAACAGTGCTCATATTGCAATGATAACAGCACTGGTAAAAAAGGGCTGCTGAAGACATTAGGTTTATAATACTCAGAAATTCATACACAGATGTACTCAAGGACACATAGACAGTGGATAAAGGCGTTAGTTAGATCCAGGACCTAAAGAGTGTGAGTTCAATACCTGGTTAAGGCGGTGGAGAACTTGGAGAGGTGAATTAACAGGAGATAACTGATAACTGACATCCATTAGACATGGCACGTGGAACTAGTACAGTCTACCCCAGCAAGCGAAATAAAGGGTTCAGTTCGACCTTCCAACCAGCGTATTCCAACCTGTGATAAATATAGCAACAAAGATAAGGACAATAGTCAATCCGAATAATGTAAATATAAAAGTTGTTGATTAAAAGAAAGAAAAGCCGCTCTTGAGTATAGGTGAAATTATTATTTTGTTTCTAATGTATTCTTTTAATTCTATATCTCTTTAGACCGTCGGCGATCATGACTCCAGGTATTCCATATTTTTTTATTATGTGTGAATTGCGATAACTTTTGGGAAAGATAATACAATGACTTTTCATTGTTTTCTCCCCGGCTTGCATGCTATAGACTGGCAGCTACGCAAGAGTTGAAAACACAGTCTACCTCGCTATTGAACCCATAGCTGGAGAAGAGATGTATGAAACAGACTAGGCTAAAACTTGAACTCAGCTCACTTGCTACCAGAGGCTAGATATCCTAGTCTACCGTGCTATTATAAATACATAGCCAGAGCAGTGTTTGACGTATTTCAACTTCTATATTTGAGGTAAAAAAATTTAATATACAAATTTTAACCTTTTGTCACATGTTTTTTTTTTTAAGTAAACAAGAATAAATAAAAGACGTTTGGTGCAAATGACAAGATCATCTCACAATAAATGTTTATTGTTGTGGATCTTTTTACTCTGTCAGGGAATCGGATAGTGATAAGAGATGATTCGTAGATGATGAAGGCATTGAAAGCAAGGAGGGTCCTGAAGCGATTGACCTGATTTTTGACATCATGTAATCTCACACAAAAATATTTAAGTAGTTAATGATTTCTAGGCTTGAAACGGTGACTAAATCATTTTCTGGAAATAAAAAATATTTCTTAATTAATGTTGTAGCGTTAGAAGAAAGCGGTCACTATCAAACATGGCGTCTATAAAATGTTTTCAGAAACCAGGCACGGCTCATAATAGAAACGAAATCGGCTGATGTATGAATTGAAATTAATTAATCATAGAAGTGAGGGTAACAAAATGAAAAAAAGGTTATTAAATTGGTTCTGTTCAGACTGGGGAAGTAAAGTGATATAATAAATATAAGGGAAAGTTAATGTGTTTTAAGTCAATAATGAACAAAGATAGGACGTGCCTCGTTCTCACTCGTAGCAAAGTTCAGTAAATAAACAGGATATGGAATACTTGCTTTACAAGCAGTCAAATTCTCTAAAATGGCAAGAGAAACCCGACACAATTTCCATAATTTAGGTTAGACGTCAGACTACGATAGATAAAACTTAAATTTATTTTAGACGCTATTTTTTTACAAATCTAGTTTTAAATAATCGTCGTGGTGTAATGGTTAACGAGTTGGCCCCACAAACCATTGATAATGAGTTCGATTCTCACTTGTTGCCCTTAAATTGTGACCTTGTGTGAAAACTAAGCTTAACGTAGTCATTGACTCTATATTAGGTGCAGACAAGTATCATGTAAATTAGTGTTTCAGACTGTTACTATCATAATCAGATCTTTCTCGGGCAATCTCATACTTATAGCCTTGGGCAAGACTAAACATACCTTAGTAACTGTTGTATAAGATGTTTACATATTGCCTACTATGAACTCCTGCTACTAAGCTTTTTCCGAGTCGGTAAATGTTTTGTTCATTGTGTTGTGTAATTGAGCGGTAGACGCCATATTGAATAAACCAGTTTTGAACTTTATGTACAATTCATGTGCTAAAACAAGTGGCGTAGCTAGAGTGTGTGTCGCCCTAGGCACAGTGTGTGTTGCCCGAGGCACAGTGCAGTGTGTGTTGCCCGAGGCACAGTGTATATCGCCCGAGGCGGAACCATTGTGATTGCTTCCCTTCCTTTAATCGTCCCCCACAAACCACATATTGCACAGGAACTTCCTCTTGCGATATATATATATATATATATATATATATATATATATATATATATATAGACACAAGTATAGGATTGGTGTATACGGAATAAATTCCAATAACTAATAAATATTATTATGAAAATAATGCTCAATACAGAGTAGAGTAAATATAATTATTTATTCGAAAATTATAACATAATTATGTTATAAAATCACTAGAAAAATAGCCATTTCGTTTCAACACTTCTGGTGTCTTGCAAAGTGATGGTATTGAACGTAGAAGGTTCTACATTCAACACCATCACTTGATAAGACACCACCAGAAGTGTTGAAAGAAAATGGCTATTTTTCTAGTGATTTTTATAACATATTTATGTTATAATTTTCGAATAAATAATTATACACACACACACACACACACACACACACATATATATATATATATATATATATAAACTAAATAAATGAAATGCCATGAAGAAAGGTGAAAAAGAAATTCAGCTGAAAAACAAATCGACGGTTGGTTGATAAGAATCCACCATGTCGCGACCAAAACAATCGGCCACATCACCAAAAAACAACTTGACGTTGCACAAAATTCATCAGGCCAGTCGAAAAATAGGGCAACGCGTACCCTCAAGGAAAATAACTGAAATTTATAAAATAACGACCAAGAAGTGTCTCCCACATACAACGGCATTAAAAGAACTCAGGCTGGATCCGTTCACATGTTTCACATTGTCAACAATGACAAAACGGTCCTGAATAAATCACTGGATAATGTTTATTGTTTGGTCAAGATAACAATTGCTTAAATATATATACCACAGTTTAAGTTACTCGAAATCGAAAAGGTTCTTCAACTGTGATATTAAAGCTATTTGTATTGTAATAGAGCCTATATAGGCATATACAGCGGGTCCAAAAGTCTTGCCCACATAATAGTGTCGGCCGGGGAGGATCAGCTCCATTAATTATACTACTGCTAATAATTCATAACAGTTCCACCGTAAAAGATCCGACATTGAAATCATAAAGAAAATAGAAAGAGTAAAAGGCGGCCATTTGTCTGTCGCTCTTTGAACTCATGACTTTTCCCCTGCAGTGTCGTTACTTTTTCTTATAGCGCCGGTTATAAAATGTCCAACCAAGATATACGTCTAAAGACAGAAAATAGCATAACTGATAAAGTAAGACAATAAGTAAATTTTTTACTTATCAGCTTGATTCTCGCAGTAATGCTTTCCTTAATTCCTAACCATTGAAAGATCATTTTTTGCAGGATTTCTTATGCATTTTCATAGGAAAACTAGTTTATGGTGCATTTCTATAATGCATTTACATGATGAATTTCTATCTTTCCTCTAGCAAATGTAAATGGAATGCATTTACATTCGCTAGAGGAAAGATAATTAGCGATTTTCCTTATATTTTTAACAGTCTCACACATATTTCTATTATACGATTCCTTGGAGAAACTAAAAAATTCCTGCCATGTAGAAATAAAAAATATATACATTTCTGAAAATATTGCAACACTAACAGTCGCAGAAAAAAATCGCTCACAAGATTATTTTTGTACCTTACATATTTACAAATCTACCATTCGTCCTTGCTTTGAATATTTGTTTCTACATTTGGTTTGCTGCTCCGGTGATATATTTAAAGATTCTTGATAAAATACAGAGAAGAATCTGCAATGTTATTGGTCTTGATATGGCATCTCGGCTTCAGTCACTTTCTCACCGCCATAATATAGCTTCCCTATTTGTTTTCTATAAACAATTCCATGTTAATTTTTCTGATAAACTTTCCTCTGGGGTATCTAGACGTTATGAATTTAGTACTAGATTGGTGGCAAGGTCTCATCATTTTGCAATTTAATTGGATAGATGTAACTTGACGTTCTTTGATAACACTTTCTTTTCTCGTACTCTTCGTTTGTGGCACTCTCTACCGATTTCTTATTTTCCAGTCAACTTTGAACTTTATAAATGTAAATGCAATGTCAATCGTTATCTACTGTCTTCCTCATTCCTCTTCTTTTATTCTTCTCGCTCCTTAATAATGTTTTTCTTTTTCTTATTCTTTCACACTCAGTAACCACTTGTGTCTTAGTGGCTTTAATGGCTTGGGCTGAAATGGTTAAAAAAAATCCATGCTATGTGAAAATGGAAGATCTATATTGCAGCAGTGACAGACATAAAAAAACCCCCACAAGAATACTATTGTATCTGGGAAAGCAAAAAAAAAAATGACATAAAAATTAATATGAATTTCTTCTTACGCCATTTGGTTTGCAAACTATTTCATGAAACCTTCTCTTTCTGGATAGCGAGGTAAACCCGTGTTTCTTGCAAATAAATAAACGAGGTACCTAATGCATTATTCTTTTCTTGCTGCGTACAAATCAATCAGTGTTTCTATTGTTCTTCATGTGAAGAGTTTGTAAGATTAGCCAGCCGTCTCCGCTTTTATGCTATTGTGTCTGTTGATGATGGCCAAAAACGTTATCTGTTTGTTGGCAACAATTTATAAGATCTTTTTTTTACAATTGATAGCATTGGCCTTTCTTTCTGTCAAGGCAATTCAGAAGATTTATTTAAACAACTTGGTTTTAATAGGACAAACGGTGTGTGTGTGTGAGTTTGAGAGAGAGGGAGAGAAGAGAGAGAAAGAAAAAAGGAATAGGGAAAGAGAGAGAGAGAAAGAGAAAAGAGCGAAAAAAGAAAAACGAGAAAAAGAGAAAGAAAGAGAGAGACAAGATGAGGGAGAAAAACAAAGAAAAAGAGAAAGAGAGAGAGAGAGAGAGAAAAAAAAGGAAAAAAAAGAGAAAGAAAAGAAAGTGAGGAAAAGAGAAATAAATAGGGAAAGAAAGAAAGAAAGAAAGAAAAGAAAGAAGGAAGAAAAAAGAAAAAATAAAAAAGAAAAAAAAAAAGAAATAAAACCGAAGGAAGGAAAAATAAGAGAAAAAAGATAAAAAAAAAAAGAAATAAAGAAAGAGAAAAAGAGAAAAGAAAGAGAAAAAAAAGAAAAGAAAGAAGAAGCGAGAAAGACAGGACAAGAGCGAAAAAGAGAAAGAAAGAGAAAAAAGAAAGAGAGGAAAAGAAAAGAAATAAAGAGAAAAAAATAAAGAAAGACAAAAAAAGAAAGAAGGAAAAAAAAAAAAAAAAAAAAGAAGAAACAAAGAAAAGAGACAGGACAAAAAAGAAAAAAAAAAAAAAAGAAAGGAAAAAGAGAGAACAAGAGAGAAGGAAAGAGAGAGAAAGAAAGAAAACAAGACAAATAAAGGGAAATAAATAAAAGATAAAGAAGAAAAACGAGAAAAGAAAAGAGAGAAAGAAAAAAACAAAACAGAAAAAAGAGGAAAAGAGAAAGAAAGAAAACAAAAAAAGAGACAGGACGAGAGGGAAAAGAAAAAAGAAAGAAAAATAGAGAAGGAAAAAAAAAAAGATAAACAAGACAGAACGAGAGAGAAGGAAAGAGAGAAAGAAAAGATAAACAAGAAAGAACTAGAGAAAGGAAAAAGAAAGAAAATAAAAAAGACAGAAAGAAAAGAGAAGGAAAGAGAAAAGAAAGATAAACAAGACAGAACGAGAGAGAAGGAAGAGAGAAAGAAAGATAAACAAGACAGAACAAGAGAGAAGGAAAGAGAGAAAGAAAGATAAACAAAAGAACGAGAAAAGGAAAGAAAAAAAAAGATAAACAAAACAGAACGAGAGAGAAGGAAAGAGAGAAAGAAAGATAAACAAGACAGAACAAGAGAGAAGGAAAGAGAGAAAGAAGAAAGATAAAGAAAGAGAGAACGAGAGAGAAAGAAAGATAAAAAAAGAACAAGAGAAGGAAAGAAAGAAAGAAAGAGAAAAGACAGAACGAAAAGGAAAGAAAAAGAAAGAAAACAAGACAGAACGAGAGAAAGAAAGAAAAAAGAAAGATAAACAAAGAACGAAACGAGAGAGAAAGAAGAGAAAAGAAAGATAAACAAGACAGAACAAGAGAGAAGGAAAGAGAGAAAGAAAGATAAACAAAAAGAACAAGAGAGAAGGAAAGAGAGAAAGAAAGAAACAAGAAAGAGAACGAGAGAGAAGGAAAGAGAGAAAAGAAAAAAACAAGACAGAAAAAGAGAGAAGGAAAGAGAGAAAGAAAGATAAACAAGACAGAACGAAGAGAAGGAAAGAGAAAAAAAAAGATAAACAAGACAGAACGAAAGAGAAGGAAAGAGAAAAGAGAAAGATAAACAAGACAGAACGAAAAGAGAAGGAAAGAGAGAAAGAAAGATAAACAAGACAGAACGAGAGAAAGGAAAAGAGAAAAAAAAGATAAACAAGACAGAACGAGAGAGAAGGAAAGAGAGAAAGAAAGATAAACAAGACAGAACGAGAGAAAGGAAAAGAAAGAAAGATAAACAAGACAGAACGAGAGAAAGAAAGAGAAAAAAAGATAAACAAGACAGAACGAGAGAGAAGGAAAGAAAGAAAGAAAGATAAACAAGACAGAACGAGAGAGAAGGAAAGAGAGAAAGAAAAAATAAACAAAACAGAACGAGAGAGAAGGAAAAGAGAAAGAAAAAACAAAGACAGAACGAGAGAAAGGAAAGAAAAAGAAAGAAAAACAAGACAGAACGAGAGAAGGAAAGAGAAAAGAAAGATAAACAAGACAGAACGAGAGAGAAGGAAAGAGAGAAAGAAAGATAAACAAGACAGAACGAGAGAGAAGGAAAGAGAGAAAGAAAGATAAACAAGACAGAACAAGAGAGAAGGAAAGAGAGAAAGAAAGATAAACAAGACAGAACGAGAGAGAAGGAAAGAGAGAAAGAAAGATAAACAAGACAGAACGAGAGAGAAGGAAAGAGAGAAAGAAAGAAACTTTTAGCAAAAACTAAAGTAACTTGAAAGCCAATCCTTATTGCTAATCAATGATTGTAATTGGCTTTGATTTTGCCGTTCGATTTACCAAAATGTTATAAAGCACAAAATTCTCCATTAAAGAGATGACACCATATTTTTTAGATTTTTCTGGAGTTCTCAATTCTTCCCCCATTGGTTGATTCGAATCATTGTATCTTTATTAAGGCGGACATCTTTTCTCCGCCATTTTGTTTTGTTTGTGTCACAACGTTTTAGTTTCTCTACTATCTGGTATTCTTCAGGTGTCTGTTTAAAGTCGAGCAAACAAAACACTTTTTTGAGTTTATGGAACTTTTCATTCCAGACCCCACATTTCCTCTACATGCCTTAAAACAGAGCTTCCAACCATTCATTCATGTGTCACATTTCTGACTTGACAGTGAACGAGATGAATTTTATTTTTAGGTCCAATAACATTTAAGTAATAATTTTTGGAAGCTCAGATACATTGTCTATTCGTTTGAATCGGTAACTCAAATTTACAGTGAATATCAATGCCTTCTTGGAGATGGCATGAATTGAGCAAAACATTCAAAATTAGAACAAAACAAAAAGACTGAATATCTGTCTATATCTCTGTAATGACGTATCATCATCTTCATTGCCATATTCACAAGGTTTCGGACTTCCTTAGGTGATTGGAAATTCAAACCAAACCCTTTATTTCGTCCACCGGGCAGATTCTTCTAGTTCCACGTGACATTCCTCTGCCAAATGTCTCAGTTATTTCCCTTTAACTCAACTCTCCAAGTTTTGGTTTTGAAATCACAACTCTTTGGGTCTAGTCACTGGATCTAATCAACGTCTGTCTTTGAGGATATCTGTGTACGAATTTCTGTGTCATTGAGGATATCTGTATATGAATTTTTGGGACTTATAAACCTAATGTCTCAACAACCAGTTTTTTACCAGTGTTCATATTGCAATTTTTTCTGTTATTATTATTGCATTTTTTTTACCAGAGCTTATATTGCAAATTTTGTGTTGTTATTCATTATTGTTATTAAAACATACAGAGCAATAGTGAATCAAAACTTGAAGAGTTGAAGGGAAAAACTGAGACACCCGGAAGAGGCATGACACGTGGAACTAGAACAATCTACTCTGGCGGTTCGGTTCTAAATTTCTAATCACCTGAAGAAGGCCGGAGCGTACAACGGCCGAAACGGCAATGAAGATGAGGATAACAGTCCGATTAATGTAAATAATGCAAGTAATCATAATACCTCATCTCAGAGATATAGAGGCCGAAACGTTGTGAATATGGCAATGAAGATGAGGATAAGAGTCCGAATAATGTAAATAATGTAAGTAAAAAGATTGAAATATATCTTCGTTGAAATGTAAGGAGGCTGAAATGGTGCATTGAAAAATCAGTCACAATGAATCAGAAAAGAATAATTAAAAAAAGTTGGTGTAAATTTCAAGCCAAGACGAAGGATGTAATTAATAGCAGAGAAGAAAGCATGAGTCCAAAAGAAAGAAGAAAATAAGAAGACATTAGCGAAATTAGGCAGAGAGAAAGGAATTCAAATCAATGAAGGCAAACATGGCGATCAATAAAAGATGCTGTCTGAATCGTTGCCCGAAAAAGAAAACAGAAACTTTGATAAAATTCATCGAAAAGAAGCGAAATAAGACGCAAAGAAAAGAAACGTACAATGGCGTCACAGGTAGAATGGTTGGAATAAAATGAGAAATAACAATGAAATACATGGAAATGAAATGAAATGCATTAAAAATCACCACGTACTGAAGCGTTGCAATAATAAAAAAACCCAGAAATGCTTAGGGAATTCTTCGAATCGAAACGGAGATAAAATGGAGGCCACACCTTCAGCAATAGAGTCAGGAGGAATCATAGAACCCCCCCCTAAAAAAAACAAAAAAAAAAAAAAATACCCCCACCCCAGAAATATTGACGGATTCCACCAAATGGTAACTGATATAAAGTGTGGGGTGGCACACCATGAACAATACAGGCTTGATGAATCGTAGTAATAAAAACCCCAGATATATTGAGGGAATACATCAAATAGAGACTCACATAATATGGAGTGAACACCATGATAAATACAGGCAGAGTGAATTGTGGTTATTAAAAAAAGCAGAAATATTGAGGGAATCCCTTGAAATAAAACTAAAATATAATGCCTTGCACATCAAATGCAATGAAGCTAGTTGAATTCTAAAATCAGAAATATTGACAAAATCGATGAAATTAAACGCAGTCAATGATGAAAACCCCCACGTGAAATACAATGATATGAACTGGATCGTTTTTTGCTTCATATCGGAAATGACAAGGAAATCCTTCGGAAAGTAAGCAAATACAATGATGATAATACTGTAATTCCCCATCTATAATACGCCTTCATGCATAATACGCACCCCAAAATTGTGTTGAAAGTGTGGGAAAATGCTTCTATTTAGGCATAATACGCACCCCTTGTTTGGTAATCAAACCCTATAAATTCTACCTCGCCAATTTCATTACGGCCAGCGTTTCCGGCTCTCTTTTTAAAAAATGGTTTTAAACATAGAATAATTTTATTCTAATTAAGTTTTATTTTGTTTTACGTCTAGTTTTTAAAGATTTATGTTTAGCTGTGCATAATACGCACCCCTGATTTTGCTTATTATTTTTTTAGAAAAACATGCGCATTATACATGTGGAATTACGGTACTTCGTTTAAGACAGGCAGTTGGGCTCTTTGTGATAAAAAATTTCAAAATTTAAAACTAAAAAAAAACTATAATGATTTCAACACATATAATTTCCATCATCTACATTGTTCGAAGTGTTGTCCTCATCTTTATTGTCATGTTCACGACTTTTCAGCTGTTGCACGCTCCGGCCTTCTTCAGGTGATTGGAATTTCGAACTGAACTCTTCATTCTTGTACACCGGGATAAATTGTTCTAGTTCCACGTGCCATGCCTCTTCCGACCGAAACGTCGTGAACATGACAATAAAGATGAGGCCAACAGTACGAACAATGTAAATAATATAAATTGTTACAGTGCCTCATCTCAGAACAGATACATCATATAATTCATGCAGGTTGAGACTTTTTGAGCAAATAATAATAATAATAATAATAAAAAACATAATTGATGAATTTTCTCCCGTTGCACCAAAGAATTCATATCAATATTTCCGATAAATGTTATTTGAACCAAGTTATTCTTGTTTGTTTTCATTACCAAATCATTTTCCGGTCATCTTTAGATATCTATCGTGTTCTCCTGAAAATGTCAAATCCTAACCGTTTATTTGATCAATTTACTTATATTTGTCATGTGTTTTGTCCCTCGAAGTTTATTTCAGTTTTTGTAACAATCTTATTTCTTTCCTTATTGTTCTACATCTTCACCGTATCCTTGTATGTTTCCAGGTTTCCTGATCAAGGGATTGAACACACGACTTCCTGGAAACCAGATGATCATTCCCAGCCTTAAATCTAATTTCTGTTGTTAAATTATGCGGAATTCTTAGAGTTTATTCATATTTTTTCTCGGCTTAAAAAGTGAATAATTTGAAACTTTCATTTATCAGTAAAAAAAAAGTCTTAATTTATACGCATTTTTACTTGTTACTTTATATAATAGAGCGTCCCCTAATACATGATCAGCCATACCTGATTTCAGACTCTTAATGGATTAAAACTTTCTTCCCAGCTTCATTTTCTTTGGTTAAACACTTCCTACCTTTACTGTCTTTATCTCATTTGAATTCAATCATAGTAAACTTTTTCAAAAATGTTCAACAGACGCAATCTATTTTTCACTGACTTTCAACAACAAACCTGAATAAAAATGGCTGCGGCGAGAGAAGAAAGTCGAAAGACAAATTAAAAGCCAAGTCAGACATTTTTTTAATAACAATATTTTGAATTATGTTCTACATTGACGCGGATTGAAATCGCATACCTCAGTGAATGTCTGTTAAAAGAGGGTGTGGTCATTAAATAATAGCCGAATGTCGGAAGCGCTTAGGCACAAACTATAAAACAAAGGTTAGATTGACAGTGAGAGTAATTTTGCCGTCCCGGGACTCATTTGACAAGACTTGATAAGGTAAAAGGCCATTTGCAATAAGGTCAACGACAAAGAGCGGAGCTGTCGGTTGACAAAGCCATATAGACGCTGGTTAACCATTTTTGCTCGCAAGGTATTACGCTAAAGGGTGAGGGGATCGCTTTTCTTATTCGAA